ATTCTGGGCTATCATTTTTTTCTTTTTGTCTCTTTTTTTGTCTAATTTCCCCCTTTTTTCCCCCTTTTTTTAACCTCCCAAAAAGGGGGGGGGGCTAAATCCGCCCATGCTGCCCTCGATAGGGCCTAGTGTTCTTTTTACTTCCAGGTTTCCAAGGGGCAAATCTGTGGGTTTTTCATTCCATTTTGGCCACTGTCATGATTTTTTTCTTTTACATTTTGGCTTAGGCTTATTTTTATATGAGGCATTAGGCCTATCCGAATAAATAAATACAAAATACGAAATTGGCAAGACAAACAATTCAGTCCCTCATTCTAATTTTCAGTTGAGCTGATAACTTAATTAATTATACAAGAGTTAAAAAAAAATCAAATATTGAATAACTTTTAAATCACAGACATTAGCTTTGACTAAAAATACAAAAAATGCTCATAGTTTGTGTTCATTATCCCTTATCACCTTTTAATGCAATCTTTAAAAACATAATGTTTTATAACTATTTATGTGGATGCAAATTTTATTGTAAGGCATTTGAAACTGAATAAAGAAGAAAAAAAGAAAATATTTTTACATTTCCCTGGTATCACTGCCGACAGACTGGCCTTCTCTGTGTGAAAAATAATGAGTGAAATCAGCATGACTGCTATTTTACGGCCTGGCACGATTGCTATGTACGAGTTCAGATAATTATAGATTTTTAGCATATACAGCAATTGTTACCAATCTGGCGATTTTTAGGCGTAGGGCCTAGGATAGGTCCAGCTGTTTATTTTCCAGGTTTATCAGTAAGTAATATTTGTTTCTGTCACAAAATGCAAGCTTGCTATTTTAAATATTATTTTTACGTTAATTTTAGTATTCAAAAGTAATTCTATGTGTAGCGTGATCATTCAATGTCGTTATGTTTTTTTACGGGTGCGGCCTTGCTTGGCTGTGGAGTAGCTTAGACAAGCGTCGAGCGACTGCTGCAGCTGTGCTCCAGAAGGCTGACACCCCTCCTAACTAGGGCCTAGCTATTGCCTAGGCCTAAGGGTCCATTGACCTAGCTATAGGCCTAGTTAGGTCTTTTTGGTCGGTGATAGTTTATCCTGTCAATTAGTAGGCATAGGCTAGGCATATGCAAGTTATACCTTGGTATTTGTCTTTATGTGTAACATGTACTGTAGTACACAAATGTTATGATAATAATAGACATTGACTATATGTTATGTATTAGTATTATATTGTAGTAGTCTATTGTATTGAGTTCTAGGCTAGCTAGCATAGGGCCTCGGCTAGGAGCCAGTGAGAGGTGTCGCCAGCTGGGGGAGGGGGGGTTGAGGGGATTTCCCTCTGTCGTTCAGGACTGGACCTCCTATCGTCCAACGCCATGCAACAAGGTTGGATCCTAATTAGTAATAATTTTGCCTATTCAAATCACAATTTGGGCCATCTCTAACTAATCTAATCTATAAAAACTCTCCCCGTGAACACTAACAGAGATTTTTTATTCCAGGAGCCTGACCGAGGCTCTAGTCGGCCCCTTTATTTGTTCTTGCCCAATTGGGACCATCTGTCGGCAAAAAATGTTATCCTTCAGTTGACTTCAAATATCACATCATTAATTTAACAGAAAGAACAAATTGGTGTTCTTAATTACAGTACCAACAAACTGTACTATTTGGGGCTAAACAGTGGTTATGATTCTGCACAGGTATTAATTATTCTAGCAATGTTTTGTCCAGTTTTAAATATATCTTGCATGCAAATGAAATACTTTATACTGTAGTGTAGGACTAGTAGGAGGATTGCGTAGGTGTTTGATATCATTAAACATTTTCGTGGATTGTTATTTAACAGCTTGCTAAATCAACAAGATGGCGAGTTCTGGTGAAGCCAAGCCAGTTAAGGTTGGTATGAAAGTGGAGGTTAAAGAAAAAGGATTAGTTGGAAAGATAGCTTTCATCGGTGTCACCAGCTTTGCCTCGTAAGTCTGAAAATTCTAAAATTTGCTATGAATTATTAAATACCACTAGTATTGGGAAGGTAGCCACAAAGGATACTGGGCCTTATTAAGTGGCCCCAAAAGAATTTATACCATGTCAGAAAAGTCCACATAATAACCCCCTACTATTACTGCACTATGACATATTCATGTAAGGCTATAAAACATACCTTTCGAAAGTTGAATCTAGATAAATCTCATAGTAACTTTCAATACCATTAAATAGTAGAATAACCAAATGGTAATCAGAGTGCTTGAAGTGTACTATCTAATGAAAAGCATGATGCTACACCCATCAAACATTTGCAATGTTGTGACTGAATAATATAGTGACTTTCATTAAATTTTTTTTCTATAGTGGGAAGTGGATTGGCGTTGTTCTCAGTGAACCGAAGGGAAAAAACAATGGTGTTGTGAGTGGAAAGAAGTATTTCACTTGCGCCCCTAATCATGGATTATTTGTGAGGCAGTCGCAGGTAAACTATTGAATAATTAAGATATCAGACACCAACACATTTTCAAATGTCAAGGATTTCCTATCAAAGTGGGAGGTGTCCTGAATTCAGGTCTGAGGAAGGATGAGGGAGTGACAGATAAGCTGAAGAAAGATAGTAAAAACTTCTGAAATATGGCCTTGGGATAAAGAGAAGGATATAATTAAGTGAAATCTCATGTACAGTGGAAGAAATAAGTTCATAAAAATGCTATGTACTGTACAGATAAGATCAAATGTTATACATTTTAACTTTTATTGGTGCATTCTGCTTATAGCTGATCATGCTGGACGAAGCAGGTGACAGTAAAGGCTCAACTCCTACATCTTCACCTTCAACAACGCCCTCTAGCACCAACTCCGAAAGAAAGATACCTAAACCGTCGGTAGGTTAAAACATGATACATTTTAAACAATTAATGTGTTATATTTATTATTACATTTTTTTAAACAAATATATTTATATTGTAATTTTCAAGCTAAACATTTCAAATTTTCAAATGAACACTTAAAATACTGAATTTATTTTTTTTTTAGCTTAGCACAGACTATGTTTTTAATGTGGAAATATTGTAGTTGATAAATGTAGTTAATATGGATAACACAACAGTCCTAATTTCCTTTTTCAAAATGCTCTTTTTACAGAAACATGAGAAACAGAATGTTAGAGTAAAACAAACTGATGTGAGGAATTAACATTTTCAAAATTATTTTTCTTTCCTGGGATTTGGTTATTAGTTTGTAAAGTGTATATTCTGAAAACATTAATTTCTCTTTTTTTGTATCTTTATACATTGTTTACTTTTAAAAATGTCATTATTGTCAGAGTGGTACGATTACATTTCTAACAAGAGGGTTGTAATTTTTACAATATTCTAATGTTTCAATATTATTATTATTAATTACAATAATGTTTTATTATTTTTTTTCAAGAGTATTTGTAATCTAAAAAATTCTTGATACGTGGTGCTTGCATGAATAAACCTTTTACTATATGTATGTTTCATTTTGATTCTGATATTTTGCAAAAATATTCTGTTCTGTTTGGATTCTATCTATTTTTTCACTCTGTTTTTATTAGTTACTTTCTAAGACATATTTAAGTGGTTCAATTTGCTGTTTAGCATCAGTATCAGATCCACATTGATACAAATGGCTTCATTATCCATCATTTAGATGTGTGCAGTTTTTTAAATCCCTGTCCAGACCATCATGCCTAAATATGGTCATGATGACATCAAGATGTGTATAAGAGACAGGTCGCAGGTAAACTATTGAATAATTAAGATATCAGACACCAACACATTTTCAAATGTCAAGGATTTCCTGTCTCTTATACACATCTAGATGTGTATAAGAGACAGGTTTATAACATTATACAAAAATTAGATTTTTCTTAAAAACTGAAATTTTGCTGGGAATGGGGCTTTAATATGGATAACACAACAGTCCTAATTTCCTTTTTCCAAATGCCTTTTTTTGCAGAAACATGAGAAACAGAATGTTAGAGTAAAACAAACTGATGTGAGGAATTAACATTTTCAAAATTATTTTTCTTTCCTGGGATTTGGTTATTAGTTTGTAAAGTGTATATTCTGAAAACATTAGTTTCTCTTTTTTTGTATCTTTATACATTGTTTACTTTTAAAAATGTCATTATTGTCAGAGTGGTACGATTACATTTCTAACAAGAGGGTTGTAATTTTTACAATATTCTAATGTTTCAATATTATTATTATTAATTACAATAATGTTTTATTATTTTTTTTCAAGAGTATTTGTAATCTAAAAAATTCTTGATACGTGGTGCTTGCATGAATAAACCTTTTACTATATGTATGTTTCATTTTGATTCTGATATTTTGCAAAAATATTCTGTTCTGTTTGGATTCTATCTATTTTTTCACTCTGTTTTTATTAGTTACTTTCTAAGACATATTTAAGTGGTTCAATTTGCTGTTTAGCATCAGTATCAGATCCACATTGATACAAATGGCTTCATTATCCATCATTTAGATGTATGCAGTTTTTTAAATCCCTGTCCAGACCATCATGCCTAAATATGGTCATGATGACATCACATCATGACCATATATATGCGCATCATGACTATATATGGGCATACAACAGTTTTTTCAAAGAAAATTTGATAATCTGGAGAGAGCTCTAAAGCTCTGTTAACATTGTCAAGTTGTATGTGAAAATTCCTGTGATTTGCCCATATATAGGTGTAATATGACATCATCATGCCTATTCTATATATGGATTTCAGGGGTCCAAACCTAGAGATGCCATCTGCTTTGATGAGTTATATTTTTGTGTGTGATACCCATGGGCCATGGCCAGCTAACTTCAGTGAGACAATAATACAGTAGTAATCACATACAACCATTCTGAAAAATACATGAGATGAGTTATTTTCGTGGAGATTTCTTCTTGCTCTTGAGATCGGGGGAGACATTTCACCAGTTTTTGTTGTTGTTTTTGTACTCGGATTGGATTGGATTGGATTTATGGGTGGATAGCCCTCGAAAATCTAGAAGAAGACTTACAGTATTTCCAGTGGGGTAGTTCTGGTGGTGATTAGGCAGTACACCGGGAGACAATCCTCTACTCTTTTCCGAAGAATGTACTGCGTTCTTTAACATGCACACAGGACCAACGGCTTAAACGTCTCATCCGAAAGACAGTGCGCTTTTGTAACATGTATTTCAGCCCTCAAGCTGAAACACAAGGAGAGGCAGCAATGGTAATTTAACCGGGGACCTAGAAATCCCCACGGTTCAGCGCACACACATTGGCTACAACCAGATTAGCTGACTGAGCTAAGCTGCTCTCAGTGAGCGCTCTCACTGCGCTAAGCTGCTCTCAAAACACCTGAAACTCGAAGGAGATTTAGGACCCCCTGGCATGATTAAGCTGTATGAGTGAAATTTATAACCAGAAACTGAACAGTTTCCTCAACTTTAAATAAGAAAAATTCTAAAGCTCTTTACACTCTATCAATGTTTACATGAAAATTCCTGTTGTTTGCCCATATATGGGTGTGATATGACATCATCATGTCTATATGGGTGAAATATGTCCATATATTAATGGTCAAAACATATGCCTGATAAATTTGTACTGGATAAAATCCACAGGCTCTTGATACTAGGCGAGCATCAGAACCAGCGAAGATATCTTCCTTTAATGTGAGTTTAATGTATCATCGATGCATCATGCATCCATTGCTATTATTGCCGCCATGATACAAATGACATGCATACCTCATACTACCCTGTTGTAACTAAGCCCCTTCCAGCATGATTTAGCATGATAATTGGATGTGTTTTCATTGCATGTTTACTGAACAATTAGCGTTGTTCTGCAGTGCAAGAAATTTGTCCGGTGATGTACAGTGCGGGTGTTATAATTTATGCAGTCTCACGATTTGAAGTCGTCAAGAAAATATTTTGCATCATGAAACAACAATTATTTTTTTCTTTAAACTTGTTTATAATTTTATAGAGAAATTCTATCTTAGTCTAGGTGGAATTTTGTTTTTACTCATAGTGTTATAGACTTATTTAATTTTTATCATATGTGTGCAGGGTTTGAATTTCCCCACAGCACCGGCAGCAATTGCTGTGGAAAGGGCTTTCCACTGCTGTGGTAAATCCCATGCTTGACAGCAAGCATTTTGCTGTCGAGTTTCCTAACCCAGGCCTGGGCATCCATAAAATGATACTGAAAAAAAAAAATACAAACTGTTGATTATCGGTGTGGAAGAATAATTTGCTGTAGTAAGGCCATAACCCATACCAACTTTTTGCTGATGGAGCATTCTGAGGAAATTCGAACCCTGTGTGTGACTAACGCTAGGTGTGAGCTCGTACCCACTAACTTGGATTTGTTTCCCAGCCTGTGATTGTTCCTGTGTGAGATCACCATACAAGTGTTTCTTTCTTACAATGATGAATTTTAAATTTTATTCAACAGACTCCGAAGAAGAAGGGTGGAACAAAGCCGGCCCAGGGAGTGAGTTGTAATAACAACAAACTAATTGAATGCTAATTAAGGAACAGTTTTTAACACTGCTTTTAAAATTTTTTTTATAAAACTAATATCCAACAAAATATACATATACGGAATATGGGCAATTTCAGTTTTGGTAATATTTTACTGATATTTTTATTTAATATGTTTTATCTGGTAGGACATTGATGTAAATTTTCAAAGTAATCTTTTTTTAAACAAATAAAATTGAAGGATTACTTTTCTAGAATGAAACAATGACAATGTGTCAGTTGGTACTTGTTCATCAAGTTCAGGATCAGGGGTTCAATCTTTTTCAGTGCCACATGAAGTTTCTATTCTTAAAGCTCCAACCTGAGTCTTAGCAATCACACTATTATGCAAAAAAGGGGTTTTCAAAATCTAGTTCACTAAAACAGTTGGATAAAATTTAACAATGAATTGCATTTAATCTTAAAATTGTTCAATCTGATGGGTTTATATGTTTTGCTCGATTTTCTACCATTTGAAAACATGATATTTTTATATATAATTCACTAGTAGAACAAATACACTTCAAGTTGCAACTTTTCTTTTTTATTGACAGACTAATCTTATTAGCTTATATTTATTTTAAATTTTATTATTATTTAAACATTTTAGAGTCCTTGCATAAGCGGAATATTATAATCATTGTTATCAATTATTTTTTTTCAAGTATTACTAATTTTGCTAATTTATCAATAACTAGATTGTATTATCCCCTTCCTTAGAATTCAAGATTTTTTTTGTTGGTGATGTTAAAACATTGTTGCCTATTAAAAGCTCTATGCTTTCTCCAAACTTAATTCCCACCTTCTTTTAAAAGTGCCTTTATTTCCATCTCCTTTTTTCTAGACATAGTAATTGAACATTTATTATTAAATTGTATATCAATATTATGAATAAGTTGTGTAGCCAAATTAGTTTGCTCTAGAATAAAAGAAATGACAGCAGCAATTTTAAGACTAACTTGTATTAATCTTTTATACAGTTAAGCTATATTTACACTAGATACGATAACGACACGACACGATAAAAATGGGCTTAGTGTTGAAGAATATAAACGACGCTATGACATGTTGTTTCGTTATCGTGTCTAGTGTAAATGTAGCTTTAGTCTTAAAGCTGGATGCTTACTGTGTCTGACGGTTGTCGGCCGACGCGATTCCATGGAGAACACAACGGCACGATGTGTTTTTCCACGGACAATCAGCAAACAGCATTGTGTCATCTATCCCTCGCAGGGAGCAAAGTTAGATTCGTCGGCCGGCACTGTCGCTTTTTGGGACCTTAGCAACAGTATCCAGGGTTGGGGCTTAGCGGAAAGGTTCATTACTGTACCTTCATTGTTTAGCTAGATATTTATATAGCACCTTTCTTTGGAGCGAAACGCATTTGACCCCGGTCATTGGGCCTACATGTTAAAGTGTTGTGCAGGAGCAGCCTTGCTCAAGGACACAAGCCAAATGCACAGCGAGGGATTGAAAACCCCCATTTCCCATCCTTTTTCCCATTCCCTTATTAATTCTGGTGCCTTATATAGAGATCATCTTTTCTTGTAGTCATAGTAACTGTACATTTATTAATTGCTGTACTTCCTTCTCCATCCCTTTAATTATGGTGCCTTTTTTGACATCTATTGTTTTTAGGTTACATTTAGTATATCTTCGGCTATTAGCCTATCAACATAGAGAATTATATCTTTTTAGGAGTATAGTTTTACTCAAATCATAAGACTGTTAATTTTCTTTTTAATTGTTTCAAATTGTTATTTTTTAAAACTAAGTAATGATAAAATTTGATATTGCCCTTTATTACATCATCTATTGTTAGTATACCTTTGTCTATTAGCCTATCAACATAGAGAATTATACATTTTTAGGAATATAGTTTGTTTTTCAAAAAAGAATATTTTTAATTGTTTCAAATTGTTATTTTTTTTAAAACTAAGTAATGATAAAATTTGATATTACATTTTAATAATGATGACTAATGTTTATTAGCATAATTATTATATTAGTATTAGTAAAAAAGATAATTGTATATAAAGTGAATAAAAACAAGCACATGAAGACAGCACATTCACTGTATCTAGTACTAGCACTGTCCGTAATTACATATCACTCTGGCATTGAGTACAGTTCATATTGCACAGGTGGTAGCAAAATAACCTACTGTATACAGTATTGCAATTAAAAAAAACATATGGTTCTGTTATTGGAATATGTTTATCAGTATAATTAATCAATATTGACATTTTAAGAATATCAGCATTTGCACATGAAATCAGTATGTAAAATCAAATCTACTTTCAAGTTAATTGTAGGAATAAGATATGATAGTGGCAATGGTACAATATTACTTTGGTACTGGTATAAGATGGCACTGGCTGTGGTACGGTGTAGCAGTACAATATGTATATTGGTACAATATGGTACTGGTATTGGTACAATATTGTACTAATAACATTACAAAACATTATATTATGGTACTGGTAGAAATACAACATGGAACTGTTTTCATTGTGTGAGATATTGGGGCATGATAGTATTTGGTAGTGGTATAAGGTGGTACCGGTAGTGATACAAATTGGCAACCAACAAAATTACACTGTATATATTGGTGGTGTTAGGTTATTAGCATGAAAGACCAATAGATAAAAAATATGGATCGGTTTGTTGATCATTTCTAAATCTTTAGTGAAGAAATTATCTGAAGTTTACATTTGGCTATATATACCTCAGTAATGAATGTATTAACTATAATATTATTTTAACTTTTCCATTCAAAATGTCAAGAATATGAATACTCAGCTTAGTGGAATATATAGGATAAGTCGTCATGCTTCACTTGTATGTAAAATCAACTAAATGCTAGAATCAGAGATAAGCGAAAAGTAATGATACACTATATACCTAATTATACTATCATATAATCATTGTTAAGCGCTTTCGTGGCATTGTTAGTAGAAGGCGCTATGTAAATCTAAAATTATATTATTGTAATTATTGTTATTTTTATTGTTATCGTTATTATTAATATTATTGCTATTATTTTTATGATTATTAAGCAGACCATTTAAAAAGTATATCAATAATAAATTCAAACAAAATTTTGCCTCTAGATATTAAAAAAACCCAAAAATAATGCTTCACTGCGCATACCCGATAGTACCGGGTAGAAAAAAATGTTGTTGAATTGCGCATACCCGGTAGTACTGGGTATATAAAAACGATTCTTTGTAAAATTGTTCCTGTACTGCAGGCGCCCACTATAGTTGTTTCTATGAACTAGAGGTGATTTCTACTGAATTATATGGAGTAATGATTAATTGTTGCGAAAAAAAAATCATCTTACATGGTTTTTGAAAATTTTTTTTTTTCCGACAAACATGGATTTTTGTCTGTTTTTAAATAGAATGATGAAAATAATTCAAACTACTGATTTTTTAATTCATTTAATGTATCTTCATCATTATCCTGTGGAAAAAAAAACAGCATCCCATAAGAATTTTGTTTCTATTTTACAGATTTATGAAAAAAGGGTATTTCCATAATGGCCACCACAATGGTCACATGACCACCTAATTAAAATTCCAATTTAAATTTTTTCCTGTAGGCCAACCTCTTTCCCACCCCAACACACAAAAACAATTTCAAAATAACCTCTTTTAGTATTTTTTTTGACATTTAACATAATAACCTTCTTCCTAAAAAAGCCCAGCACAGGGGGTGTAGTTACCTGCAGCAGTGAAAGGGTTAATACTCTATAGAAATATTTAATATTTTATAAATTTAACGACTAATATTCCTACTGTAACGCAGTATATAATATTCACAAACATACTATTACTAAATAATTTTTCTCTTATTAGAAAGGTACAGTATTATAAGACGTGCTGTAAAAATCAACTATTAATTATTAATTTAATTTTTTTTAGAGCTTTAGCTTATAAACTGATATTGTATTTATCAAAATATATAAATATATAACTTTTCATTTTTATATTATTTACATAATATTAACTAATATTATCCGAGATTTATTAATTGATATTTGTTTTATAAACTTGCACAGCTTGGTGAAGATGTAGCACCCACTGGTGGGTTAAAAGCATACCGGCATCGTTACCACAATATAGCTTACCCTTGAACCTAATATCGTTGTATATTATGTTTTTACCCAATTAATTAATTTATGTTAATCTATTTCATTTATGAAATGTTTTATTTTAAGCTATTTTACCAATAATGATATTTTCATCATCATTTTATTATGTTTGATATTTTTGCTATTCCTTTCATTAAAAGAGGTTTTTTTAATATATATATATATATATATTAATTTTTATTTTCATTTTAAGCCTCTTTGTCTTTTGCTTTGAGTATATTCTTTGTGCTACATTATATAGAATGTTGTTCTCATAATCTCGAAAGCTCCAATGGGAGCAGTATAATAGAGGCAGTAGAGTATATTGGCCCTAATGGCTGCCCATACAAAAAAGATCTATTAATCAATCATCTATTAATCCTCATCGGAGCTAACGAGTATATTCATCTGGGAGGAATGAATTCAGGAATTTTTGGCCTAACAAAGAAATGTTACCTGAAGTATATGTGAAGTTCGAGTAAATTAAATGATTTTTTTATCAGAACCCTACATGTAGATCTCCAGATGTATCTAACATGGTATATTACAACTTAAGACAACTAAACTTGTACTAAGATTTTATGTATTATTTATATATATGTTAATATTATTTAATATTCTACATATATATATATTTGAAGAAGTATATTGATGGATTTTAATATTTAAATGATTTTCTCAGATAAGAGCACCAGAGGTGAGACCAAGCCCGCCACCATCTGAGACCTCCCAACCAGAATCAGAAGAAGACATAAACTCAGAGGAGGTCATGAACTTACGACATCAGGTCAAAGACCTCACAGAGAAGTTGGATACACTGAAAATCCGAAGAGTGGAGGACAAGGCAAAGCTGAAGGAATTAGAGAAGATGAAAATACAGTTTCAGCAGGTTTGTTATAGGGCTTGGAAATATGCCTGACACAAATATCTCAAACAATAGGGATTTTTTAATTTGCATTATTATGTAATGCTGAAATGGATTCGCTCAGCGATGACCGTCCTATGCTGGTTCTATGTTCTCTGCACAACGTAAATGCAGGCCTAAGTGTGCCCTAGAATCCAAGCTACAACGAGAACTCATCGTTGTTGCATTCGCAGATTACTTCTTAGTCATTATATTCTAGGTCCTACTGTTGTCGTGCAATTGAAAGCCCCTTATCTGAGCAAAAGACCTCCAATGTACTGTACATATATTTATGCTTGTAATATGCGGTACGGTATCCAAATGCATCTAATTTACTGTACTTATGTTCATGCTTCGTGACCACCTTGGTACTGTGCAGATATGATATAGAATTAGCCATATGCTTCTTGCTGGATTAGAGTAAATATATGTTATCTTTTTTTTTTTAGCATCAAGAATTTAAGGCCAGAATGACAGAGGCAAAATCTGACCTAGAACGACAATTACAAGAAGCCAAGAAAGTAAGGATAAATGTGTATAACAGTGCGTGGTAATGATGATTATGATGAAGTTGATAATTATAATCATGATAATTATAATGACGATTATAATGACAATGATAATGATGACGATAATGAAAGCAACGATGATGAAGATGATGATGATGATAATGATGACAACGAATATGATAATGATGACAACGATGATGGTAACGATGATAATAGCTATGAAGGGGGTAGATTTTATGATGATGGAATGGAATGGTGGAATTTATGATGATGTTGATGGCAGTAATGAAGAAGGTGATAATGATAAATGTTACCAATGAAGATGATCATAAAGATAATAATGATTCCGATGATCATCATTATCATGATGATGATAAATTATTAACTTAATAGGCCTATTTGTGTTATTAGTTATGTGGTTTTTAACATTTTTCTATGGATCGATTATTATTATTATTACGGCAAAATGTTAACCTGTTTGTTTTACTTTTCAGGAAGCTAGGGAGGCAGTTGAGGCTAAGCATAGGCATGAGGAAGATGTAGCGGAGGTAGCAGAGAGCATTGAGATGGCCACTCTTGATAAAGAAATGGCAGAAGAAAGAGTAAGTAAAAAAAAATGAATACCAAGTGAAATATTGAAGGCATTTCATTAAGGTGCCTTTAATTCCAATGATCTTTGGTTCAGCCATGGAACATGCATATGTTTGAGGTTGTCAGTGTCATTTTATAATTATATTTTCAGGCTGACTCCTTACAGCAGGAAGTTGAATCTTTGAAGGAGAAGAATGAAGAGTTGACCCTTGACCTTGAGCTACTTCGCAGTGAAATTGAACAAGGAGGTAAGATTGTTTAGTTGTTTTTAATTTTTCAAAATTGATTATATTTACTATTAATTATGACAATTTAAAAAAGCTTTTCTTACAGAAATATGTTGAATGTTTAGATTTTATCATTATTATTAATAGTTGGTTCTAATTTGCTTAAACAAAGACTTGATAAAACAAAAGAGCTATATAGAAAAATCCATCTCCCCTGACATCTGTTTACCATTCGTTTTAATCATGAAGAAATCCAACCAGTTTACAAGAGTTATTAATGTTTATGTTTTGTTTTCTAATAATATGAAATTTATTCTTCAGCAAAATCTGCAGATGGTTCGCAAGGTACTGGTATTACACTGTCTGATTTAATATTTTAATAATATTTTCTTAGATAAACATTTTTTTTTTGTCACTGAAACATTTTATCTCAGTCTGCTTTTCCTTCCAAATTTGATGGTTTTGCTGGTCACTTCACTTGCTTGCCATAGAAATCTAGTTTAGAAGGTTTGTTAACAAGATTTTTTTCCCTTGACCACTTGATTGGATAGATAGTGAGGCAGTCAGTGGTTTATCTGTCAGTCAGTTGGTCAATAGACTTTTCCAGAATGTCAGTGTGTCACAAACATGTTTTGTCCCACAAACGCTTGTGTGTACGTTTTTCTGCTGTCCTTTAGTGGGACCTCGGCAACAGTATCCAAGGGGCGGGGTTAGTTGCAAAGGTCCATTAGTAAATCAGTCAGTCAATCAGCCAATCACGTTTTGGAGCTTTTAATCCATCCCATAAATCATGATGCTTTGAGGACGATCCATGAATTCTGCTTTTTCATGACAAATTATCAGACCATTGATGTATACATGTGAGTAGATGAGAAAATAGGACTTTACTACTTAAATAAAATCTGATATGTCTTATTAGGTATTAGTCATTATGTCACTATCAATAAGATGAAAAGGGCTGCTTTTTATGACAGAGTACCACAGTCGTGTTGTCACAACGTCAGGTGGCACTCTCTGTTGTCAACAGATGTTGGTTACCGTTCATTATGCCTGAATGACTTCATAGGTTTTCTGAAATAGGCATTTTGAAATCTAACATTTTACCATCAAAATGTACTAAAAACACAAAAGCTTGCATTATATTAGTTACCGAACACACATTTTATCATCAATTAAAATTTACAAAGAAAAAGTAAGATACAACATCTTAATAATCACGTTAGAAATTATGATCAATGGGTTGTCAGTGGAGAAAATGGCGTCTGGTTGAACGCATTTTGCAACGATAGCAACTGAGTAGTATCACATGGTGTTGTGATGTAACACTGTAGTACTCTATAGAAAATTGTTAAAATATCTTTATATGGGAGCAACATTTAGTAAAGGCAGCTAAACTGTGGGATATGGCCACTGTGTGTGCACTAAACTGTAGAGATCTATTGGTTAATCTTTGGTACCCATTTCATTTCTATCCACTGCTCTTCTTGTGTTTTAGCTGGAGGGCTAAAAGTGCAAGTTAAAAAAGAGTACACCCTCTTTTGGAACAGATGCTTAAACTGTTGGTCCTGTGTGCAAATTATGGCCCATGTGCATGTTAAAGAATGCAGTACACTTTGAAAAAGATTAAGGGATTGTCTCCTGGTATATTACCCCCAGAAAGGACCCTACTAGAATTATGTTTTCAGACTTTAGTGTGTGTTTCCTTGGTGTTAACACAGAATATATCCAACCCAACCAAAGATACAGTTAGTATTGGGACCTGTGATGGATTTATATCAGACCCTTGACTTCAAATCCCACCTTCAAATGCTTCCTACAACAGGAAAGACTTAATCTTAATCATGTAGCATCACATAGCTCTCAATCCTGAAATTAGTAAGTTACTTCCTCTCTATCTCTCTCACCACTTCCTTGACTATTGCCTCACTGCCTCCTTCCATGTGGAAGTAGTTTATATATTCCACATTTTGGTGAAAGGATAAACACAATCACTAAGTTCATATTTCAATATCTTGTATATTTTTATTGGTGGAAGAATTTTTAAAACTTTTTTTGTTGCACTGATGTTGGGTTCTCTCCTAATTTCTTATTTTTCTATGCACAGTACTTAACTTTAGTACTTTTTTTTTATTGCCTTTTATTATGTCCATTTATCCTCAATACCAGCATGTTATATAAAATCAAGGTGTATGTATATAGTACTTACTTGTTCTTGGGACTACTATAATCAGACTACTGTTTAGTAACTAAATCAGAGTCTAATAATAGTGTGGTATTTTAACCTTATTTTTTAATAATAGAGTATACAGTAGTTGGAATTGACTTACCATAATAGGTACGTTTGGAAGTCTAATTCAGAACAAACTTCTTAAGAAGTTTTAATAGTAAATGATAGTATGGTTTAAATATTGAATAATAAAGCTTCACAGTTATGAATTGATGACAGGAAAACAGAGAATCAGCACTATCTGACAATCTTTCTATGTGGTTTATCATCATTATCATCAACATTATCGTCATCATTATCATTATCTGTCGGCCACATTCGAGATTCTCGACACATAATGCCAGTTCAAAAGGAATAATAATTAAAAAAATATATATTATAAATTTCAAAGTGGTGCCCCTCTTGTTTTCTCTGTCGTCATTGATTAGTTTAAAGATGTATTGTCTCCTGAAAATGATAAAAAATCATAAAATATAGTATTGAAATTCACTTGCTTATTTTTCAGTAACATACAACATTAACTTTAGCATTGAAATTATTGAATGTGTACCCTGATTTTTATACAGGATAGTGAAAACACTAATTTTGATGTTCAAGTTGATAATATTTGTTATTACAAAGTGGGCAAGTTAATTTCAAAAATGATTTTATGATTATTTTTTTTTGGTACTTTGCATGGGACAGTACATCTTTCACATTAGTACACAACTACTTTTCTGATATATAATGGTAAATAATATCAGCTGTACAGTCTACTTTGTAAGTAAAGAAAAGGTAGCAATTCAGGGACAAAGTTGTTGAGATATTTATTAACAAATTGACTGCCAAGCCTTTTTTCCTAGTTTCATCCTATATGCCAAGGCATAAAAGGCACCACTATAATGAAATTCATTCCCATCAACTGTAATGCAACACAAACAAACATACCGTATTATTTTTAGATTTTTACTTCCAGGTTCTTCCCTGAACCTCCAGGACGAGATTTCACGTTCTGGCGACCACTTCCAGCGGGCTTATGTGCAATACAATTGTGTGCGTTTAGACATCTGTGGACATGAACTCACATCTTTGGCGCCTTGATTGAACCCTGTCGGATGTGAACTTGTATCCCTGGTAGCAAACCTGTTAACACAAGCCTTCACCTGCAAATATGTACAGTACATTGTACACAAAACAAAACCTTGTGTGAATACATATCTCAACTAGTCTCTGACTGTTACCTTTGTTTTACTGTGATATACAGTATGATGAATATTTACAATTTAGATGTAACTTCAAAGGATATTGCATTATGTACCAATAAATTTATTAACCTTTTGTTATATAATATATATATATATAGCACAATTTACAGCGATATAATAAATCTAACATTTGAGTGGCTTAATCAACAGTATAGAAGTATGTTATACATTATTCATGACTTTGTACTCACAAAAATACAGATAATGCATGAATGAATACAGTATAGTATAATCCAACACAGGAATTTAAGCATTTAATTACTCGCATAGCAAAGGAATGTTACATTAATTAAATATTTGATTAATTAGTTGATTTATCATTTTATTGATAATAATACAGACATTATTTTGAAGATAATCAACAGATGTATTTTTTGAATTCACATTGGCTTTTAGAAGACAACACTTAATAGATTGTAGTTTCTTATTAAAGTATACCATTTTACCATGTCACCATAAAAATAAGGAGTGTGCTGACCAGGGGAGGTGTAGGATGAGGTTGGTATGGGATGAGTTAGGTAGGGGAAGGGGAAATCAGTGCTTCCAGTGTGCGACCATACCACATTGCCTTCATTAAAGATCATTCTCTACAGTTCGAGCATCAATAAAGTTTCACATACTTTTTTATACCTTCTGCTTTAAAGTCAGTTGTTATAGTTGTCTAAGGACCCACTTTCTTGTAAAACCTACTGTGTCTTTGTGAGAAATTTTTTTATTTTAACAAACCAACTAATTGTATCATTGATAAAAAGTGAATGCAGTGAGTTTAAGAATATAATGAAAGTTATCATCACAACAGTAATAGTTTCTAATTACAATTCTTTCTGAATTAAGGTACTGAAGGAGCTGCCACTAACTATCAAATCAAACAGTTGGAGCAACAGAACACGCGCCTTAAGGAAGCTCTGGTGAGGTTGCGCGACCTCTCCACTCATGAGAAACAGGAGTACCAGACACTGCTGAAAGAGAAAGAAAAGATTGTGAACGATAATAAGGAAGTTAAGTCACAGAAAGACAGTGTCTCGAAGGCTCTGAAGGAAGCTGAGAACCAGGTGATTGAGCTGAAGGAGCAGGTGGATGCAGCATTGGGAGCAGAGGAGATGGTTGAGTCACTGACAGAGGCTAATCTGGAGCTTGAAGAGAAGGTCCAAGAGCTGCAGGACAACATCAACGATCTGGTGAGCAACAAATTGTTATCTATTAATGAAAGGGATAAATAGTGGTTAAGTTTACATCTTAATTGCATAATTCAGAGTGGGCATACATAGATTTTATTTTTGCTATATAAGTAGCCAATCATAATATTCCCGGTAAATGGCTCTAGGGATTCTTGAACCTGTGATTATGAAATGAATGCGAAGGTATTAAAACAATATTTATTGAAGGGCTAAATAACTAAAGAGAAATCAAAATTTAATTTTAGGAAGCACTAGCAGATATGAACGAAGAGATCCAGGAGAATGCAAGAGACACAGAGCTGGAGCTGCGAGAGGAACGAGACATGGCAAACTCGCGGGTGTTGGATGCTCAAAGAAAATTGGAAGCAATGAGCGAAAACATTTCCGACTACCAGCAGACGATAGCAAAGTTTAGAGAGCTTACCTCATCTCTTCAGGTAATTCAACATTTTGCACAATTTACCCTAAAATAGAAAAATAAATAAAAGAATTAAAGATTTAAATTCACCTGTACTCGACAAAACAAAATGGCTGCATAGTTACCGCGAAACGCACTGCGTAATCAAGGTTGCTTCGGATTGTGACATATGGGTTTTTTGTAAAAAATGTTTTCATCCACTTTTTTGAATTCTGTTAGCCTACAATTATTACAATTATTTAATTATTATTACAATAATTATAATTATTTAAGTAAATATTATAATTTTTATTTTCTGAAATTTAATCTAAATTATATTAACGAAATGTTGTTGAACTGACCAATCGGCCATGTTTGTTGTGGATGAAATGAAAATAATACTCAACGAAAAATCGTAGTCAACGAAATGAACCAGTCGATTAATCCCAATTACATATTTTTTGCTACTCTTACTAGGATGAAAATCGTCAACTGCATCTGAAAGTTGAGACAGCCAATAACAGCCAAGAATCCACTCCAGATCAACCAGCTTTTGATTTTAAGCAGAAGTTTGCAGAAGCCAAGGCACAAGCAAAGGCTGTCTCTTATACACATCTAGATGTGTATAAGAGACAGGTGTAGGATGAGGGTGGTATGGGATGAGTTAGGTAGGGGAAGGGGAAATCAGTGCTTACAGTGTGCGACCATACCACATTGCCTTCATTAAAGATCATTCTCTACAGTTCGAGCATCAATAAAGTTTCACATACTTTTTTATACCTTCTGCTTTAAAGTCAGTTGTTATAGTTGTCTAAGGACCCACTTTTTTGTAAAATCTACTGTGTCTTTGTGAGAAATTTTCTATTTTAACAAACCAACTAATTGTATCATTGATAAAAAGTGAATGCAGTGAGTTTATGAATATAATGAAAGTTATCATCCCAAACAGTAATAGTTTCTAATTACAATTCTTTCTGAATTAAGGTACTGAAGGAGCTGCCACTAACTATCAAATCAAACAGTTGGAGCAACAGAACACGCGCCTTAAGGAAGCTCTGGTGAGGTTGCGCGACCTCTCCACTCATGAGAAACAGGAGTACCAGACACTGCTGAAAGAGAAAGAAAAGATTGTGAACGATAATAAGGAAGTTAAGTCACAGAAAGACAGTGTCTCGAAGGCTCTGAAGGAAGCTGAGAACCAGGTGATTGAGCTGAAGGAGCAGGTGGATGCAGCATTGGGAGCAGAGGAGATGGTTGAGTCACTAACAGAGGCTAATCTGGAGCTTGAAGAGAAGGTCCAAGAGCTGCAGGACAACATCAATGATCTGGTGAGTAACAAATTGTTATTTATTAATGAAAGGGATAAATAGTGGTTAAGAGTACATCTTAGTTGCATAATTCAGAGTGGGCATATATAGATTTTATTTTTGCTATATAAATAGCCAATCATAATATTAATAGCTCAGGATATTTGATTTTTTATAGGCATATATATAAAGAAAGTGAATGAAATTGGGTTCCTCACCATGAGAAATCAGCTTTATAATATCCACCTTCAACGAATGCTATCCTTACACTATATATCACAGCAGTCAGTGTCTGCAGAGGAAAAATGATTTGTTTGTTTCTACCCCCTGAAAATGGCGCTAGGGTAATGGATGATGTCACTTGGGCTTCAGTTCCCAAGTATATAAAATATTGTTTTCATATATATGATATAATAAAAGATTCTTGAACCTGTGATTGTGAAATGAATGCGAAGGTATTAAAACAATATTTATTGAAGGGCTAAATAACTAAAGAGAAATCAAAATTTAATTTTAGGAAGCACTAGCAGATATGAATGAAGAGATCCAGGAGAATGCAAGAGACACAGAGCTGGAGCTGCGAGAGGAACGAGACATGGCAAACTCACGGGTGTTGGATGCTCAAAGAAAATTGGAAGCAATGAGCGACAGCATTTCCGACTACCAGCAGACGATAGCAAAGTTTAGAGAGCTTACCTCATCTCTTCAGGTAATTCAACATTTTGCACAATTTACCCTAAAATATAAAAATAAGTAAAAGAATTAAAGATTTAAATTCACCTGCGCAATGGTAAAATCCTGCTTAACGAAGACGACCAGTTGAATAGAAAACTGGTAAATACTCAACAAAACAAAATGGCTGCATAGTTACCGCGATACGCACTGCTTAATCAAGGCTGCTTCAAATTGTGGCGGTATAGGTTTTCGTAAAATCCGATTTTTAAAATTCTGTTAGCCTACAATTATTTGTTGGACATCATGTGAGTAAATATTATAATTTTTATTTTCTGAAATTTAATCTAAATTATAGTAACGCATGTGTTGTTGAACTGACCACTTGGCCATGTTTGTTGTGGTCATTAGAAAACCTAATGCTGATTAACACGCTCTGGTTTACGTTAATTTTTTTTGTCAATGAAGTTTATTTTAAGACAGTCGAATGAAAATAATACTTAATGAAAAGTCGTAGTCAACGAAATGAACCAGTCGAATAATCCCAATTACATATTTTTTGCTACTCTTACTAGGATGAAAATCGTCAACTGCATCTGAAAGTTGAGACAGCCAATAACAGCCAAGAATCCACTCCAGATCAACCAGCTTTTGATTTTAAGCAGAAGTTTGCAGAAGCCAAGGCACAAGCAAAGGTGATTGTTGCAAACTTTTGCAGAAAAATATTCCACATGTTACCTGCTATTATTATTATCTCCGCCAAGGAGGTTATGTATTTAGTGCTGTTGGTCTGTCAGTCTGTCTTTCTGTCTATTGATTACACAAAGAAAGACACCATTAAATTTTTGGAAGAAAAGGTCATAGAACAAGATCAATATCACATAAATTCAATTTTTTTTACCTTTGAGCATAAAAGAATATAATGGAATTACCCCACATATTCTGGCAGCATGTAAGAAAGCAATGTTCTAGAATGTGGCAGGCGATTCCATTATTTTGTTATTCTGTAACACTGATGAAAATAATGTGCCTGAATACCACTGGCAATTCAATTATTTCATTGAGGGTATGCTGCAGTTTCCCTCATTATTCATGGCCTGTATATTGTTGGTACTGTATGGGCAGAGGTATGCAATCTATGGAGTGACTGCTTTAGTTAAAATCTTTTATGTGTCAGACATTACCATGTCATGGTAAGGAAACACAAAAGGTTGTCTAATCCAATTTAATTTAATATTTTGTGTATCATTCTTTATTATATAATAATAACCCAGCATTTATATAGTAATGTCTATATTAAAACCTATATGAGGTGCCTAAATTTGTTAACCCTTGGTCAGATGGTTATCCTTCTTTCTAACATCAGAGAGTCAGCTTATTTTCAATGACTTAGGTGTGACATTTGAGAAGGAACTAAGCCAACATTTCTGCTTAATTGAGGTATTTTCAAATTGGCAGTGGATGAATGACAGAATTATTTTTAAGATTGTTGTTTTTAATTTATTTAAATTATTTCTGTTTTAGATGATTGAACTTGACATTCGCAAGCTGGAGGTGGAGCAGGCTAAACGCCATATTGATTTGCTGTGCTCATTCATGGCCGATAGTTTCCTCCGAAGAGGAGGTAAGTGACCAGTATCAATATTTTAATCAATCAATCAATCAACCAATCAATCAATTAATCAGTCAATCAATCAATCAATTAATACATTAATACATAAAATACATAAAGTCATTCAGTTAAATGATTCTATTCATGGCCGATGGCTTCCGTCGAAGAGGCGGTAAACAACCAGTATCAATATTTCAATCAATCAATACGTTATTCAGTAAATCAATCAATCAATAAATCAATCCATTAATTAATCATTTAATCGATCAATTAGTACATTAATACATGAAATCATACATAAAGTCATTCAGTTAAATGATCTTGTTCATGGCTGATAGCTTCACATGAAGGGTATACAGCTGCCCGTAGGGGCAAAGAAAGGAGCATTCATGTCACGGCCCTGTTCCTAACAATCCTTTCACCACTATAGATGAAAATCTTATCAGTTAGTTTTTAAAATAAACTAACATAGCTCATCAGAGTATGAACTTGCGTTTAGACATAAGAAGAAGCTACCAATGACAGTGCTATTTAAATATCTATTTTAATAATTTGTTTCAGCATTAATACTACTGAAGAAAGTGCTTTCCAAATACTGTAATTTAAAACAAAATTTGTTTTATTTCAGGTGACCATGATTGCATTCAAGTTCTTCTACTCCTGTCTCGACTTAATTCCAAGGCTGAGATTGTTATTAATCAAATTAAAGACAAGGTAATATTCAAGATATTTATATATTTGTTTACTCACTTATGTGAGAATAATTTTAAACCTATCAAAAAAATTGAAACCCAATTATTGTCAAAATATCGCTTCAGATATATTTTCTTGAATAATATCAAATTGATCGGGCGTACCACAAGACTCATTTTGTCACAACAGCTCACAATTTACATATAAATATATATTTATATTTAGATAGTAAAATCTATTTATTTATTTATTAATATTTGTTAGGCGGAAATGCCACCAAGTTTTGAGCGAGAAGGAATGTTGCAGAATAACAAGGGAGAACAGTTGTCGTTTGCTAACACACTCATCTTCACGCTGTATCAGCTTCAAGCAGTTCTACACAAATACCAACAGTAAGTGATTGGATAGCATGGTGCCCATTGGTCTTCACTATAAGGGTAGGATCGAGATGAAACTGTGGTATGGATGTATGTAGGAATGGTAGGGATTCGAAAAGAGTGAGGTTACAGAAGGGTCAGATTCAGAAAGGGTAGGGATACAGGAAGGATAGGGATGCAGAAACTGTGTGAAAACAGAAATGGTAGGGGTCAGAATGTATAGGGTTGTGGGATGGTAAGAAGTGAATGACAGTGGCTTGGGAAGGGGAAATGTGTGGTCAGAGGCTATGTTCTCACACGGCAGCTAACGGTTAGCAAGATCCGGATCCTGCTAACCGTTAGCTGCCGTGCGTCTATGCGAGAAAATCCCGATCTGGATAGCAACAATATGATGATCGAATCACTGGCCAATAAGAAACTGGAAATTGTAAATTGGTTGATAATTGTAATTGGTTGATAATAGAAACACCCTCAACTTGCTAACCGATAGCGCTTGCTAACCGTTAGCGCTAACTGATCGGGCGTTCTCACGCAGGTGCTAATGGTTAGTGCTAACGGTTAGCTCCCAATCCGGGTACTAGGGCTCCCGTGAGAACGAGGCTTTAGTCTTTTGGAAGGCCCCAGAAGCCTGACAAGTCATGATCACAAATACCTGAAAACTACATTTAATGGCATGGCCCTATGCCAGCCTTTTTCATCTTTTGAATGTTCATTCTAAAAATTATTCTATTTATGAGCCCATAATATTATTTTTTGCTAACGAAATAAGTTGTTTTTTTTTCAGTGCTCTATCAACCTGCAGTGTTGAGTTGTTTTGTAAGATTGGCACTCTGTTCCCTGAGATGACCCCGTATGAAAACTCTTTGGATTTCTATATCGAGCAACTTAGGAAAGATCAGGTGAGATATAGCCCCAATTATGCAATCCTCTAATGTTTAGGTTTTCGGCACTCATCTAGCTACATTTAAAAAATATAATTATCCTGAGCACATTGTTATATGGTTGACTTATTAACATTTCATAAATGAATACCTATATTTTGTAGCTTGATGAGACAACCCCACTGGATGCACTGAAGAAAGCCATCACTTACTTCAAGCACCTGTACAATGTCCACCTGGAGCAGGAGGAGATTGACCTCACCGTTGCCATGGAGGACAATGTCAAGATGATCACTTCTGCTAGTGACTGTGTCACCTTGGAAACCAAGAAGGTTAAAGTTCTTATGCAGGTATGCTGAAGCAATACTCTTACCTTCTTCTGTGTTTTACAATGGCCACCCACTGAAAGTATGTTTACCTTTGTCCTTAAATGCATACATGACTGAAAAGAAGGGCTTGCATATGAAATTATAAGTGCCTGACTGGAGTAGTCAGCTGTATTTTACTTAAATATCTATTGTTATTGGCGTGGTTCTTATATTGGTTTATTTTCTTCGTAGGCGATGCAAGAGACAACAGATTTTGCCATTTTGATGAAAGATCTTGATTCCACTGCTGATGACATCAAGACTTTCTCTAGACAGGTGAGCCATTCAAATGTTGTAATATTGTCAACAAAATAATTGTGCTCTTGTGTGGTTATAGATTATTTCTATTTTTAAGATTAATTTATTTTATCACTATTATCAAATCAAATCTTCATGTGGAGTACTGTGGCCCACAGGGTATGTTACCTGTGTTTCAATTCCAGTGTTTTCACCCCATTTCCTAAGCCTTCCAATTGGAAAATCTGTCCTATGAAACAATTTGTCCCCAGATTTTAATATATCAAAGAAAGGGAAATGTCATCAACAATCACATAATCTAAGCTATGTACACAAAGCAAATGTACAGAAGGAAAATGCAAAAGTTATTGTTGTATATAGTTGAGCAAAAACACTTTGACTTTCGACCAATCACTTTCGACTTTGAATTTTAATATAGATACGTCGTAGATTGCCTAAACAAGGAGAAATCGGATCAGGTGAGGATGGGCCTGGGCCAGCAGCCCTGATGTATGGACCAGAGGCAAGTGTCACATTTTATTTACTTCTGTTGAACTCATTTGATTGTACAGTTGAACTTTGCCTAAGTTGAATCCAAAATGGCATTGAAAAATTGTTTCACTTAGATAAAATTTGACTTACAGATCATTAATTAACAATTTGGCATGTAAAATAAAATCAAGTTAAAAATTTTTCGAGTTAGGGAAAGTCGACTTAGACAAATTTAACTGTACAGTATATTAAGTTTTAATATTTTCATTCTTTTACTTGTTAAATCTATCAATAAATCATCAATATTTTTTAGTTATCATTTTAGTCATCATCAGCAGCATCATCATCATTAATCTTAATCATCATTCAATGAATAATTTTTGCTGTCATGGGCGTCGTTTTAAATATCCTGAAAAATGCATTTGAAAGCTAAAACTTGCTCTAAGCACACACACACACACACATCCACAGTTATGGAACAAAGAAATCATAAATTATCATATCATGATTATAATTATGATTTATTTTCAGATCCAGAATTCTCTGTCTGAAAGTGCCGATGGTCTTTGCACTCTTATAAGTGCACTAAGGTTTCTGGGTAAGGAAGCAATGACAATTGCAAGCTCTTTAACAGGTATGTTAAATCCCTTCACCAAAGTAACATTGCATAACTTCCATTAAATTTAACTTTTAAGTATTTGTATTGTAGTTATGGAATGTGTATGTTTATTTTGGTCCAGGAAAATCAGAAATTCAAAGGAAAGGTTATTTTTTATCCTTGAATCTTTATTTTCTAAGAAATACAAAGAATTAGAATTATATAAGTATCGCTAGTGAATATTTTTTTAACTTTGTTAATAATATATCTATACATGCTTCTCATTTTGTAAAAGTAGATTGATATTATTCAATATTTTTTTCATCACAATATAGTTTTATGATTTGAATTAAATATGTTGAGTAACATGACATTGATTATTTCCTACTGGCTTAATGAAGGCATAAGTTTTTATATTAGTTAAGTGCTTATTATTATTATTATATTTTGGAATTAGTAGTTCAAAAAAACTGTTTAATAATGCTCCACTCTTGTTACACTTCGAATTTGAGAATCTAGTTTTACTAAGAGAAAATTATTTTAAAAATTGCTTGGTGTTAGGATTTATGTTTAGTAAATGTTGTGTTAAAAAAAAACAACCGCTGTTTATACAGGAACACCAGAGAAGAAAAAGGACACAAAGAAAAAAGAGGAAGTTGAAGGTTTGTCGCAATTCCCACAATGCATTGCAGAGATGACTACTAGCATATATAATATTCTGTTGAAGCTATTTCTAACAACAAAATAACATTCTTTAGTTATGTTACAATCTTATTTGCAGTGATTGCGATACATCTAGCATATCTACTCCAAACATACCATCAGGGATGCCGAGAGATTGGGGGGGGGGGGGGGGGAAGGGGGGGAGAAAAATAAAAGATACTTATCCCACCACTTTGGGCCACCTAAGTTAATTATAGTTTCAGGAATCTTTTATCCCTTTTACACTGCCAAGAGCAGAATAAATCCGTGTTAATTCCGGAGTGATCCTTGGTGAATTTCCCATTTACATCGAATGAAAATGTTCAGGTTGCTCCGGAGTTGCCCCCATTTTACACCGGCAACGGACTCAGGTTCAAATACTGCCCTCAATTTTTGTTACAATGGTGATCATCACTTCGCTCGAGTTCCTCGTCATCATGAAGCCACAATTATTATCAATACTGAAGCAATGTGGTAGCAGATTGTTTTTAAATTATACAAATTAAATCAACAGTTTTGATATCAAGTCTATACCAGAGAGTAGAGGGTTTAATTTGAATAGTGTCTAGGCCTAGCCCGTTGCTAGCAAAGTTTAGTCCTACCTGACCACAGCTGCGGTAGGCACCAGGTAAGGCCTAATTCCGGAATCAAATTCAGTGCTGCTTACACTGGCGACTCTGTAATGCACTCTGGTTGTCCTACGCTGAATTCGTCCCGCACGTCCATCCCGGAATGTTTGGCAACCCGAGACAGACTTTTTGACGTTTACACAAACCACAACTCGGGAGACTTTAACCCAGGTATTGGAAAATCCCGGGTTATGTCCGGAATTTTGCTTGCAGTGTAAAAGGGATATCAGACCCCAACTGGATTTTCACCACTAGCCTTTTTTAAGGAATATTATCTTGGCCAAGGTGAATGGTAAAATTTATCTTGTCTCCCTTTTTAGGAAAAGGAGTGGAATTCTGTGTACCCTTTTTTGCCAGAGAAGAAGAGAAAAATCTTCCCAAAAAGAGAAACGAAAAGATTTTTGAGCCTTGATCTAGAGCGAAGGGAAAAATACCTTGGCCATCTTCTCCGAATCTTCCTTGTGAAATAGAAGTAAATTTTTCGTCCTCATCTCCAAGAAAATAGAAATATTTTCTTGATGCTTCCTTCCTGCACAATGGAAAAGATAAATTTCTTTAGTATCCACTTGCTCAGAGCTGCAGGTAATATTCTATTGGTCCTTATCCTTAGGCAAAGGGAAACAATTGGGGGTAAAGTAGTAAAGTAAATTCTCGGTGTCCCTGTGTATATTATTTTTGCAGTATTATTGTACAGTGTAAAGTGTATTTTATTATATTATATTTTATATTATAAGTTCACATGCATGGGACATAGCTATTATCTAATAACCAATGATTTTTATTTATTTTCTGTTGTTAACATTTCTCCTGTCAACAGCAACTAAGCAATTAACCTCCGTAATTGTAAAAATTACAGAAAATTTTAAAAGAATGAAAAAATAAAAATATTAAAGCCAGTTGATATTAATAAAAGTTTTTATAGTTTCTTTTGGTTATTTCCGACAGTTAGATGAAATATATGGTTGAATATATGAACGCTAAATAATTTTTGTAATACTGTATATAATTTATTTGACATTTCACTTTTGAAACAGTCTCAACACACAATTAATTGATGCAGTCAACCTTAAACTAAGAAGATTTAGTCAGCTTTTAATTGTCATAAAACATGAAGAAAGGCAGAAGCACTTTGAGTCCATTAATAAATATTATATCCATCAATATATCCATTGTACTGTACTTGCTCTATTTAATTAATTAACAGTTCTACAGTCATAGTTTTTGGAGGCAATTTTGAATAAATTGAAATTGAAATAATAAGCAAACTAAATGAAACTACTAGAGATTAGTAAACTTAAGTCCAATTTACAAAACTATTATTTACAAATTATTAAATTGAAAAATTGTAATTACTACACCTAATTGACAGTAAAATGCACAAATGGTAGCATAGAAAACTAACTTGGTGATAATCGCAACACTATCATAAAAATATCATTTGCTGTCTGAAGTAGTAGTAGTAATAGTCATAGCAACTATATAATATTAATACCCAATTATGTTATGTTGTATTGCTCATTCATAAAATGTTACCGATTGCACGTATGTGTGTGTGTGCGTGTATGAACGTATGTATGCATGCAGCCCGTGAGCTGTGCATGATATATTTTTACAGTATATAAAATTGTGTATCATTTTCTACCAATACAAGTAGAAGAGTGTGGCTCAGTGTGTTAGGCATTGGAAATTCAGTCAGAAGGTCGGGTGTTTGAGACCAATGCTTGTCATACTGCTCGTGTACTTTGGCAAGACACTTTGTCTGCATTTGCCTCCCTTCACCCACAAGTATAAATTGGTACCTGGTAGGAGGTGAATGATTCAGAATGAAATTAGTAGTGCTGATTACACGCATAACAAGGAATACTCCCCGGGGAGTGGAGGAGGTTGCTCGTTGTGTATGATTGATTCTGTATCCAATGACCAGGGGAAAAAAGCGTCTTAAGCAGTTTACTCGATATGTGCGCTAGATATAATTTCTATAAAATAGATAAATAAAATTCTTGTTAGGATTGAAGATAAAACCCAAACAAGCTTTAATCACACTTCACTCATGAGAATATCATTGTCCCACTTTCAACAGACAAGGACCTGTTCTTGTACCTCCATGCATGGACAGGCATACAGTTTGTCTGATCAGTTGTGTTTCAAGACTATCAGATATTGTTTGATCAAACAGTATTTAGCCTGAAAAATAAATCTGATGAAGTATATATTCCTAGCTGAGTTAAGCATATGTTTAAACAATAGTTTTTTGTTTTGCCTACAGCTCTATTGTTCAGTAAGTACCTTTTTTTGGTATGTAGAAAATTTACAGAAAGTCAGTCATCTGTTTATTTTTCCTGCCAATTCTATAACCATGGTTTTTCAAAAATGTTTAAATAAACACCAATTCAGGAAAAGGTGACCGCTACCAGCATTGGGCTGTGACTCCTGTATGTTCCTGTACTTAATGTAGTCCTCCAGTGTAAAGTCTGGTAGTACAGCTTATTATTTTAATTTCATTAGAGCACAATTGACTAAAATGCATTTTTTTTTTCAAATTTATGTTAGCACAAATGAAAATTTTTAAATTTTGACTGATATGACAAAGGAAAAGGAATTTATTTTTGTCATTTAGAATCACTGTTGTTACTTTTGTTGAGTACAGATAAATCTTTCAATGCCAGTTTTAATTAAGACATATTGCTTTCTCTTGTATTGTAAATTTTAATATATCAATTTCTCATTTATGAAGATATTAAATTAATTCACAATCTTCTAAGAAGCGTGTAATGATTTCTAGGTTATTACTAGCTTAGAGCATTATATAATTAATAATTTTTGCTCTAGATCCATGGCCCTCATGGGTCTAATTTTAAGACACCTTCACCTTATTGTACTCAAGCCTCCTTGTATCCATGGAAGTAGTGTTAAGCAAAGTGGATTTTCCCCAAAGACCATCAAATTGCACTTTCTCTGGCATATTCACCTCTTAGTAACCTCATCATATCAATTGGTGATGATTTGGACTGAACCACTATTCTAAAAATATAAAACTAATGGTACGTTCCAATTGTTGGTAACCTATGTTGTACTGTTTTTACACAGATGTTTTTATTCCCGCATAAGATAAGTGGTATGTTCCATTTTCAAGGCAATTTCTGATCATTGAAGATAATTTTTTTTTCTACAATATTAATTGTGTAATATACAGTGCCTTGATCTTGGAATATTCCCCTGTGGGGTTAATGGTTAATGGTTAGTGGTATATACCATTTTCAAGACAACTGATCTGCACTCAATAAGATTTTTTTTTCTACAGAATTGCAATTTGGTTGTTCCCTGTACAGCAATGGTTGGTCATTTTATTAATACAGTATTCATTTATCAATAAAAAACATTAGTTAAATTGCAAGAAAGTGCCATGTTGCTTATTGTTATTTAAAAAAAAATTTTTTTTTTAGTTTTGTTCCCTTTTATTAAATTTATTATCAATTTTTTTTATTGAGTACGATATACTGACTATACTATCCTTAGATATTTTAGGTGACAAGGTATGTGGGTTAAGGATATATAAACATTGTGTCAAAGCTTGTGAAGATTTTATGTTGGGTATCAATCAAAACAATCAATCAATCAATCAAATTTAGTTAATTCCCAAGGGTTTTAGGGCAAAGTTAGTACTCTTATTAAATATGAAGCAAACATTAAAGTTAAAGTTGGTATTTCTAAATTTGAACTAAATTTGGAAATCGTTTATTTTAAAACATTTGCATTCATTGTCTAACCATTTCACCTCTGTTTGGAACTTAACTTATTTAAACCAGGGAGTTGTTATAAACTCCCTGTTTAAACTATTGATGCTGGGGGAGGAGTTATTTAACCTAAATGAATTAATAATTCAGACTTTGAGATGCAGCAGAATTGATTTATTACTATACATTGATGATGGTGTTGTTATGGATTTATATTTAGGTTTCATGTTTATATTAACCTATATAATGTTGGTATTTATTTACACAGATGTTTCTATTTCCCCATGGAACTAGTGGTATATTCCATTTTCAAGACAATTATGATTTCTGATCATGGAAGATGGGTTTTTACAGGACTGTATTAATGCTGCTCTTTTGATCAAATAAGAAGCAAACATTAAATTTAAGTTGGCATTTCTAAATTTGAACTAAAAATGTTTGGAAGTTGGTGTTGCTATTGAGCTATATTTAGCTTTCATGTTTATATTAACCTATATTATGCTGGTATTTATTTACACAGATGTTTCTATTTCTCCCGTGGGACTAGTGGTTTATTCCATTTTCAACTCTAATTTCTGATCATGGAAGATAGATTTT